TTTTTTTTTAAAGGGCGATGGCCTTGAGGTATTATCATCGGACTAACCAGCCCAGGTAAATTCAATGTTGTGTCTAATCTGACAACGGTGGCCTTTTCAGCCCAGGGTGGCCTGATAGCCTTAGGGTGGCCTGATAGCCTTCAGGGATCCCCCACTGGGGGGCAAAGGCCAGGGGACAGCCGGTAGCAGAGGGACCGAGCATCATCTGAGTGGCCCGTCGCTGTGCCTCCCTGAGTACCCCTCCCCCTATGAACATCAGCAGAGACTGCTTTTTAATGCCAATTGGGGGGACCAACGGGCTATCTCTAGGTGGTAGGCGCCAAGCATGCCCAGGAAGGTACATGAGGCCAATGGGGATTGAACCCAAGACCTCCTGAATGCCACTTGCGTGCCTTACCAACTGAGCTAGGCCGCTGGATGTACGCATTTTTTTGGTTTTCTGTGGGATCTTTTGGAAACATTGTCATCAGTTTAATATCTGATCCGTGGTCCATCGGGCCACATTAAAACAACAACAACAACAACAACATTATCATCGACTTAGAGCCTCGTTCCACACCCCTTGAGTTCAAGTGCGTCGTTCCACCCGGCCCTAGAGAAATGGCTTTTTGTTTTCACATTTGCTGTTTGTTTTCACTTTTTGCATCTCAAGTGTCCCCTTTTCAAACTCAAGTGAGGCCCAGCCAAAATCACACTTGAGTTCAAGTCACCTTCCGGAGGTGCCTTGAGTTCAAGAGCCTTCGTTGGGTTTCAGCCGCGGAAAGAGTTTTTTGTTTTTTTTGTTTTTTGAACGTTCCTGGTTCACCGGCGGTCCTTCTTGCGGTCCAGCCAGCAAAGGCCATGGGCACCAGGTGCCAGCCGTGGAACCGGGGACGGTGGTGGCTGCGGATTCCGGCGTGCGGCCCATTGGAGCACACATGCAGGGCGGCCATTGAAGCGCGAGTGGTGCACCTGGGAGCGATCATTTTTTTTATTTTTATTTTTCAGGAAGAGGCAGAGAATCTGTTATCGAAGTACAAGACTTTGAGGCCGGGAATCCTCAACAAACAACCCGGTGTGAACAGGACACTAGGCTCATTGCCCAGCTTCGGCTTACCAGTCAGTATGCAGCTTAGTCAAAAGCTAGCTGTACTGTTGCTAATCAATCGAGCCCTCTGCTCTTCGTCTACATCTAAAACCAACAAGTATCCAGGAAAAGGGGAAAGGGTAAGAACCTTATCACTCTTTGCTGATGGACAGGTCCAATGCTGCCTGACGTTCCTGATACATCCACTAACTGCCAAATAAAACTAACAACTTGACAAAAACCACAAAGATGAGAGCCCTTTATAAAAGGGGAAGGAAGGGGTGGGGCGGGACAAAGGGAAGAAGGAGGGGGGGGGGGGGGGGAGGAGGGGGGGGGGGCACTGCTACCACTTATTTCTGCCTGCCTCCTGCGGCTGTATATTACAGAGTGTCCTGGTAGTAACTATTGTTGCTGCTTCAACCAAGAGCAGAATTCCAGCTTGCATTCTGAGTCCACTGTGACAAGCCAGTTGGAGTTCTTGCCCCGAACCCATGTCCTGAGAAACCATCTGAGGCCTTTTCCTGTCATCGAATTCCTGCTATTCCTAATATTCCAATCTGCCTTTATATAGTGCCTAAGTCTTGCACAGATGCTCAACTTAATCTTGATATCCGAAGTGCCTTTTTTCTGAAAGACTGCCTTATTCCTGTTGTCCCGAATTACTGAGCAAATGATTGCATTACATAACCACAGCCTTCTGAAGGTTGAACATTCTTTGGTGACATCCCTGTTAGGACCCAAGAGTGGTCCCATTCCCAGTTCCATTCTGAGAAGTCCTCCCAGTGCACCAACCACCACTCCCAAATTCTTCTTGAGGCTAGACAGTCCCACCATAAGTGGGAGGTAGACTCAAACGGCCATACACAGCGCTTACAAGTTAGTTGGATCTCCATTCCTTTCCCCGCCAGCCAGACAGCAGAGGGCGTGACCAGCAAAGACAACAACCACAGTATTGCAGCGTGTCTTTGCGATGGTAAAATCTTTAACTTTGTTAAGACCTTTTCTCCTGATCCAGCTAAAACGTTCTCCCATCTTTCTGCTGCCACTACCACTGGGCGTCTGACAGGAAGTAGGAGCTCTGAGGTAGACTTCATCTGGTCCAGCAGAAGGGTGGAGTTGTGTTGCCGTAGACCTCTCCATCCCCATGCAGCTGGATCAAGATTCCGTTCTGAGATAGGTTGATCAAGTCGAGATATCACCGTTAGCCTTTCCTTCTTTTCCCAAAACTCTTGCACTCTAAACTGTTTCAGGTCTGGTACCCATAACTTCGGAGAGGCTTCAGCTACCTGCAACATACATTGTGTACCAATCTGTTTCTCCCACTTTTGGAGGTTCCGGTCCCCCTCAGTAGTATAAGATAACAACTTCCAATATTCTGATTGAGATGAGGAGTTCCTGGTAATGTACCAGGTGCCTGGCGGATCCACCACCTCTGGTTCTAAAAGATGTTTCCATGCCGAAGGGATCGCCCGAATTAGCTTTTCTCTTTTCTCCCCTACGCGGTGATAACCTGTCAGTCTACCGTGGAGGGCCTCCTCTGGGTACCATTCTCTCAATAAGGGGTCCCAGAGATCCCGGATACGAAGCACTTCCTTTCTAATACATGCATCATCAAATAAGCCTGGCGCCTTGTTCACTTTGAACCCGTTACCGTCTGAGTCAACCACCGATGGATTGTCAAATAAGGGCTGGTTCAGCACTTCCTCTTTAGTTACTGGACTAAGCCACGCATCGGGCTTAACTCTCCTCCATGCCTTGATGATGTCTGACCACAGTTTTGAGTGAATTTTTCTGGCAAGGAAGGAGTCTAATTGAAGGCACAACCAAACGTCTTCTTCACGTTCTAACTCCCATTCCCTAGCAAGAATGTGCTCCCCCAACAGGACCTAGTGTTCCGTACCTTCACAGTTAGCTGCTTTAAGGATCCAGCTAGCTAATAGTAAGTAGTTATGTCTTACTGGATCACTGATTCCAAGACCTCCCTCTTCCTGTGGCTGGGCATTTAATTCCCAGGTCACTTTCGGAATGAATCCCTCATCCCCTTCTGCATTAGGTTTCCATAGGAATTTTGTCGAAAGTCTTTTGGTCTGCGCTAGGAGGGAAGGACTCAGCAACCGAACTGTGCCAACAAAACTCAGTAAGGACATCAAGGAGGTGTTAACCACCATGGCTCTACCAAATAGCGAGAGATGAGGGGCAGGGCCCCAAGACTTCCTTTTTGCCACTATTTTGCTCTGTAAGGTTTCTTCTTGCTTCTCCTGGCATGATTCTAGTGCCACCATTACCCCTAGGAACTGTTCTGCTTCTCCTCTCTTAACTCGTTTCATTCCCCAATCAGCTGCCAAGGACATGGAGAAAGGGAGGACTCGGAAATAAACTGATTTGTGCCAGTTCACAGCAGCCTCTGAGAACAACGAGTATTCATCCAACAGTTATTTAAATGCCTCTAGTGAGCCCTGGTCATTACTGCAGACCGCGAATAAGTCAATAAGTCATCGGCCAATGCCTTAACTTTACATTCTCCTTTCCTTAACGCGAGTCCTACTATCTCCGGACGATGTCTAATATTTGAGGTGATTACTTCCAGTTGTAACACGAAGAGCAGCGGTGCCAGCGGGCAGCCCTGTCTCAGCGATCTTGAGAGGTGGAATGAGTCTGACAGGAATCTGTTCACCATAACCGTCGCAGTTGCTTGGGTGTACAGTACCACTGTACCACCACCCATCTGCAGAAATTCTCCCCAAATCCCATATGACTTAACGTCCCATATGACGTAATTTGGTCAACACAAAACTCCAGTTGACCCTGTCATAAGCCTTCTCTAAGTCTAATAATAAGACTGAGAGAGGCCTATCTTCCACTTCCACGATCTCAAGCACTCCATCGCCATGACGATGTTATCAAAAATTGAGCGCCCTTGCACAAAGGCTGCTTGGCCCCAACCTACTAATTTTGGCAGATATTTGGCTAGTCTTCTAGCAAGCGTCTTGGCTAGGATCGTATACGATACATTTAGCCTAGAGATTGGTCTCCAATTTCTGATTTCATACCTCTCCCCTTTCTTATATAAC